ATACAATAATTTTACGTTCATTAGACAAATAAGCATATATGTACAACACCTGTTTTTATACAGATTACACAATTCACTGTCCGTCGGCAATTACATATAATTTACTTGTGCCTCTTTTGCATAAACTGATCTTGTATTATACGATTAATATTAAATTTCTCCGATTAAAATTAATACTGACAGCATGCTCTAACCTGGGGGGTGGGGGTGGGGGGCATTCCGAACCACGTTTCACGTTAAGGAAATGGAATTTGCGTTAATTTTTTTTGGAACTGGGGTGGAATATCCCCCCCCCCTCCTGGAAAATTTTTTGGATCCGCGCCTGGACAGCATGTTATTATATGTAAAATATAATTGTCAAAAAAAATGTTAAAGTGGTAGATAATGAACAAAGGTCGATTGAAAAGAAAAATTAATCGGTTGACAATAAAGAAAAAGAGCTGTGTTACCTAAAGATACCATGTCATTAGATACTATAACAGACCCACTGCTGTCGTATACAGCTATGTTCATTTATTAGAATGGTTACATGTACCAAGATTAAAAGACTTTTTTCTCGCTGAGCAGGCAGAAAATCTAAATAAAATAAATTTTACATTCCTGTATCGACGCGGATTGCTTTTCAGATATTTGCATCTGTGAGATTTACTTACACCAGGGACCTTCATACTAAGGATATAGGTCATTAGTTACACAACGTGTTCAAGTTTATTAAAACACCAAGGAATATATTTTACAAGCACATGTAGCCACTAGCCAGGAGCATATATATTAGTATATACGTTTAGGTCTCTAATGTAGCCGTACTATAAGTGAATAAAATCTTCAGTGCAAAATTATTGGTCGTAATGTATGCCCTTCCCAATTTGATGCTTTAAATTAAATATTTTTTGAATGAATGAAGGAATAAACTAACAAACAAACAAATAAATAAATAAAAAATGAAAGAAATAATAAATAAAATTCATTAATTGATGAATTGTTTTTTTTGTTTCGTTTTGTTTTTTTTTCAGAATCACTGCATAACCCTATAAGTCTCTTAACAATTGTAAACATAATGAAATGTACGAATAAATTAATAATTATAACAGTTTTAATGTTTATAGCGTATTTTTGTTATTTTGTCAGCAAGAAATGTACACTTCAGATCAGTCAACATTATTGACCATTTCGATATCTTCTTTGTGGCAATAACATTTGCGTGAAGTTTTTGCCTAATGTGGATCACGAGACCCGTGTCAGTTGACTTCAGTTGTATTACTATGTGTATAAAATAATGTTCAAAAGTTTCTCAAGGAAATAATCCTGTGTACTGAACTGACAACCTCACTTCTTAGATAAACAGCGCCTCTGGAAGTGTGTATACCTCTTCCGTTTTGCTTCGGTGAACAATACAGGGGCCTACTGGGACATATACTGTGGCATACCGTAGGTCACTGTAGGAAGCAGTAGCCATACTGGGGCCTACTGTAGGTAACTGTGGCATGCTGGGGATACATACAGTGGCATACTGAGAATTACTGTATATGCAGAGGAGACATACCGTACCATACTGTAGATATACCGTAGATAATTGTGGAAATGCTGTAGGTTACAGAGAAAGACAGGGGATTTCCATACGGACAGGGGTTTTGAAAGCCAGTAGTGATGTAGGATTGTACAGTGTAAAGACCATGGAAATGAGTAGAAATGAGAATGAAATGTCGGAATTCACAGTGAAACGGTTTCTACAGGTGTCGGAGAAAACAGTTTCCACTGTAATACGTTTTACAATAGAGTAATCTTCATCTTAATTATCCGTCCAGGCATCTTCATGTTACAGTGTTGGTAAATAAAAAGAAAATATTTCTGATTTCCAACTTATTACAACACATATAATGTACAGCTTTTACTTGGTACATTCGGTAAAGAGAAATAAGCAAAAAATTATTACTTTAGGAAATAGTTCAACCACAAAACCCCCCTCAAAACATAATCGTTTACAAGTTTTCTCACTTGATGTGAAACATTAAGTTAGAAAAAAAAATGAATAGAATACCATGATCAAGATAAATTTAAAACTGTCTCTTTTATTAGAAATGTTTCGTCTGACTGATGGGTGGCCGTCTATCTGTGGTTTCTCATTCTTTAAATATTTATCTGTTGAAAATAAAAGAAAAAGAATTAAATAATGTTCAAAAAAAAATAAATAAATAAATAAAATAAAATAAAAAAGAACGTTTTATACTTCTTACAAATTTTTCTTATTTAACCGTTTAAAATGATCAGTGAAATACCAGAGAGTAAATACTGAGTATTAAGATTTAACGTTGTTTACCTAGTGACGTTGGATCAACATCATCGTCTTTCTCACAGATGACCCGGAAGTAACTGTAGTAAACCAAGGACTGACCCATTTCTCCGGGGACCAAGGCCCGTTCAGGAAGGCCCGGTGACAGGAGTTAAACCACCACCCTCCTCCATAGCGACCAGCACAGTTTTCTCCGGACCTGTCGTTATCTCTGTCTGGTGTACTAAATGACATCCCAGACAGATCACGGAGAGGAATCCCCGTGCTTAACATACTGTCACCTGTACAATTACAGAAAATATATTACAGAGATGGTTGGTTCATATCATTACCGTCTTTGTACTGTGCACTTCCTCTCTTTTGTGACTGGTAGAAATTGCATGATGTGAAAACTTTCAATCATTTCATTGGTTTAAATGTTTTTCAAGGCAATGAAGATAATTTTCGGGTGATTTAATTTTCGTACGACTTAACAATTTTTAAAGATTTTCAGTCTTAAAAAGTGACAAAGCTAACCGTGGAAAATGGCAATAAATCTAAAAAAACACTTTAATTTTTTAAAGCAATTACTAAAAAGTGTTTTTATATTTTTCATTGTAAACAGAAATGTTCTTTATTGCACGCCAGCTTTTCAGCTCATATTTATTCTTATTTTCTTTGTTTTGCACTCTTTGCACTCAATCTCGTTCAACCAGACGCTCGTTTTTCTCCGTAAACTCCGACCAGCAGCAGAATCTGAGTTTACGGAGAAATCCGAGCGTCTGGCTGAACTTTCACATGGTAAGGCTAATGTCAGTAAAAAGCTGATGAAAAATTACAAAGCCAAGAAATGCTCAAAAATAATATTTCCTGATAGGAATAGGTCAGTTTACTGTTTAAGGTTGTTGCTTAAGACGGCGAAGCTTTTTGAAGAAGCTATACTTGTATTAATCTTAATGTCAATAAAACTGAAGTACGACCCAGACGGATCACGACTTGACATGCTGTCTCCTGGGGAGAGAGATAATACAAAAATACAATACAATTCAAATAGCACCCTTTCTAATGTAACAATAAACCCCAGGTATGTTACACTTTTAAAGTATGATAAAAAATAGAATGTTTTTTGTGGTGAAGGTCACTTGGAATATCATAAAAGTGAATATATGAAAAATTAATATCTGTCAGAGACTATAAATTAAAAATATATAAAACGAAACAGAAGGCAAATCATTTGAAATGATTACAAGGTAAGAAATGATGTTCCTATAAATGTTTTAAAATATTAGATTTTCATTTAATATAATATAGGAAAGGTATTGTAAAAATGAAATGCTTTGGAGTGTTTTGAATTTGACTATTTTTTCAATTTGGCTATGTTCCCGATCAAATAATTTTCTTCGAACATCAAGCTTTCGTGAATATTGTCGACATAATATATCAAATACGCGCTGTAAACGTCCTATTCCGAAGTACTGTAAATCATGAAATTTTCGCGACAATAGTAAAAAATATAAATTATTGTAAATCATCTCGAGGCCAAAGGTTATTAACAATAGTGATCAAAGGCAGTCACTGATATTCTTGTTACAAATAAATTTAGCACATTTCTTTGTGTTTAAAGAATATCATTTTAAATTTCAAATACATATGTACTTAGCAATGAAAAATTCAGTAAACGTAGAATTCGTGAATTGTACCAACAAAGGATATTGTGAAATATTAAAAACGTGAAATTAAAGATGTTAACAGTATATTAGAAAAGAATTGTCTCTCTGTCGTTTCTTTTTCAACAACTTAATAACCTTTCTATACAAAGAAGTATATGATAGTATACTTGTTTGAACTCAATTTTAAGAACTTAGCTTGAATACAAATTCTATTAAAATCTATCAGGTGCTCTGGAATGGAATGTAAGATAACGATCAGTAATCATTTTCAAAAGTCACATAAAACATTACAAAATGAGAGCAGAGAACTCGCGGTCGCTGAAAAGACAAAAAGTATTCAGGTGGCATGGGTGATGAAGCATCCCCTGTTGACCAGTCAAATCTGCCGTGAGCTTATTATCAAGATTGAGTAGACATTCCGTAGAAAATTCAGTATCAAATAATGACATTACAATCTGTATGAATTTTTTTTCCATCAAAGGACACAATGCTTTTGCAATCAATCATTGCTTCGACCATTAAGTTCGCTAAGTAAGCTGTGAATTACCTTATTTATTTGCTTAATTGAATTTTGTTCATGTGTTGTAAAATAAACTCTTGATGGATTGAACAAAATGACATACAAGTGATTTTTGATACTATTACATGTATCAACAAATATATTTTAGTCGTGTTTGCAACCATCTATCTTTCTCTTTTTTTCTCCTCCTTCCCAATTCTTTTTTCTCTCTTTCTTCTCTCTCCTTCTTTCTTTCTAGTACTCCTATCACGTACCTAAGGTTCCCGTGGCAGGTCCTGCTAGAAAGAGTTGATATTTCCCTGTTTCATCGGAGACCGAGAATCGATCGTACATTTCATACAGCGTTGTACCATTCTGGAGAGTGATGGACACATATAGGAAACAGTCCTTTTCTTTTGTTAATTGATGAATTACGTCATTTCCTGCATTAAGATATATTTCAAGTCAACTTAAAATTCCTTTGTTATACAATTAACTCTATTTTGAATATGAATATTCAAATTGTTTTCCTATGCTACGAATTGATTTTTTCCTCTCACATTCATTCTTTTCTTACTATTTAAGACATCAATTAAACAGTGAGTATACATGTAAGTGTGTATCGTTGAACCATATTACCCAGTCTTAAAATTAGATCCTTGATACGCTTCCATTTTTTATCTGCCACAATAAAGAAATTTTTTCAAACTTTGAAACGGATGATAGCTCCTATTTAAAAGCGATTTACACTTACCAACCCAGACATTCTGTTCCGGTGAACCAAAACCATTCTTATATTCTGTCCAATTCCTGCGAAAGTTCAGGGATTCATTTACCCGTTTCTGAATTGCCTTTAAATATTAACATGTATAACAATACAATTCATTGTTTCGAACAATTGTATGATCAATATGTTATGATAGAAACTCAAAATATTCATATTTTTTTTATCCCATATTCTTAACAACAATTAAACAACTTAGTGTGAATTATATGATATACTATTAATTTTGAAATTATATGATAAACTATTAATTTTGAAATTATATGATATACTATAAATTTTTAAATTATATGATATACTATTAATTTTGAAATTATATGATATACTATTAATTTTGAAATTATATGATGTACTATTAATTTTGAAATTATATGATATACTATTAATTTTGAAATTATATAATATACTATTAATTTTGAAATTATATAATACAATATTAATTTTGAAATAAATTAGATACCGTCCATCCTCCGTCCATTGTCTCCATATCGCAGTAAACTCTAACAGGACTGGTAATTGTGCCATAGGGATAGATTTCATACACTCCTGTATTAGTGTGACCATCTTTCCGAAGATTCTTACAATCTGTAGGAATAACTGAAGCAGAAAAAACAAAATAATAATAATAATAATGGAATCATATTATGTATATATACAGGGAGTGAGAGGATACATTAAAACTGCAAGATAAATAAGGTTAATTGCTGAAGTTTTAAAATTGTGATTTATAATGTATGTAATAATAGGAATGCATTTCTATGATCATCAGATGATGTACCACGTGGACAATGAAGTAGAACTTATTAATATATTCGATCAGTGCATACTATCTATTCAAGATATATTACTAAAGTCAAGTACTCTTAACACAATTGCTCTGAAAAAATATAGTTCCATTCATGGTCAGCAGATACAACATTACAACAAATGTTAAGAATAACGATGTGTGTGTAAAACGTGAAGGAAAACAAAATTAACGTAAATGATTTCAAGAAAATCACTTTTTCCCAAGATATGCGTATAAAAAATATTCATATTCCTACTCTAGCTGCCTTCTCAGTCTTTTTCACGAAAATATATAGGTCATTCTTCTATTGACAATCTTTTCACCAATTATAGTACTTTCGTGATTTTTGTTCGTTGTCATATAATTTCTTCTAAAAAAAAAAAAAAGAAAGAATGTTAATCATTAATTCTGTGTGTGTGTTTTTCTTTTCTAACGTGTTTTTCCGAGCTCGCCGGAAAGGTTCGAGAAGATGCGATAGACAATCTGATCGCACGTGTTTATAGGCTATTTGGTCTAGTGTGCGAATTGTTTGCAAGTGACGCAAGACTGGTGACGGTTTTGCTACGGACAAGTTCAATTTGTTTTTCTTTTCTTAGAAATCATCTGGGCAGAGTGAAAATTCGAGTAAATTAAAAGTCGAATATCTTGGATATGGTATAACCCATATTTATCCCATGTTTACCCCTTTATCCCGTGGATATGACTCATTGAATAATTTTTTCATAATCCACATTGTGACGTCACAATGGTTTTTGCGTTAGCGTGATGAAGTAAAATAAAGTGGAGTCCTATATAAAACAGTGTAAAACATTGGTTGTGAAGTATTAAACGTGGGATAAAAAGAATCTCCCATGATTTGTAGTTGGATATGACTTTTATCCAACTCGTTGTGTGTTTTTATCCCCTCGCCAAGGCTCGGGGATAAAAAACACACAACTCGTTGGATAAAAATCATATCCAACTACAAATCATGGGAGATCCTATATCTATTCTTGTTTTACTTCTGATAAAATTACTAACCATAATATCGTTACTCTCAACAGCTGATATAATGTATGTAAAAGTGAACGTTTCACAAAGTCTATGGTCGATACAATTACTTTTTGCAGATACAGTCTGTCGTTATGTCGAATGTTGACTGACATCTTTCATACAGATTGTAAGGCCTTTATTTTCACAAAGAATTATCCACCAACTTTTCGTTAAGCTGATCGGAACAAGAGGCACACGGCGGATCTGGCCGGTCGACAGAGGATGCTTACTACTCCATGGCGCAGGATTCCCATCTCATACACTCGAACTCATTTCCATTGAACATTCAAAAATTCTTCTTTTTTTTTTTAGCACAAGACATATTATACAACATAAAAAAATCCACACAAACGCAGATGATTATGTTATTCAGGAATTAAGAAAGAAAAACACTGTGTCTACAAGATTAATCGGAAATACTTGCAAAGGATGCAATATGAACAAATGAAAAGTGAAGATAATGATCACTGTAGTGTTTGTACTTGCAAGTGTTTCATGTAAGAAAGATTAATCTATTTCTGTATGTTTAATTTTATGTTGAGTTATCACCCTTGTCTTAGTTCTGGTTCAATAAATATATGTCTTCAATGACGACGAGTGTTGAGTCGGTCGGGTTTAATCCGTATGTGTAGCAAGTGTGAACGCTACAATTACTGATCAACCTTATTAATCCATCAAACGATACCAATTGTAATCAGGGTAAACATACGGACGCAGCTATTTTAAGGCTGCCTGAAGACTTAAAATACATTAAAAAACATATTTTTTTTTTATTTTGAGTAAGGTACTAACTTGACTTTGTAATTTATGAATATTTGTACAACCAACTTGCATAGACAGTTTGATCAGGTATCATAATAACGCATTTTTATGACGTCACATGACTTCGGTGATCGAGTGACAAACACATAATATTAATGAAAGGTTGCGCAAAAATCGCATCGGAACAAGTAATGAACAAAATCATTGTGAACATTTTGTTATATAAATCAATTAATCGTATCCTATCTTACATATAAAGTGCTAGGGGCAAGTCTGAATTTTATTGTATGGTAAATATTTTAGGAGAACTTCATCTTACCCAAAAATATGAAGGTATTTTCCACTCTTGATCGCAAATTAAACAAAACAGGCTATAAATCAAATAGCCCACCGTCAGTTAGAGAACATACTTCTTTTGTAGCTTCACGTAAAATGTCTTTCATTTATCCATATTAATCACTTGTGAGAATCTAATATTTGCTGACAAGGCCATTGTATCGACCACAAAATTTGCGAAATGATGACTTCAAACGAGACTGTTGATATCCTTTTTTCAGTCTAATATATATACTATCTGTAAATTCTAACCCTGTCTGCCGACGTGTAAATGGAAGCATTTCACATTCTACTTTTTCTGTTTGTTTTGATTACGCTGTATATCAAATGATATATAGGAATAACTATATTAATGCAAATGTTCAGCACTATGACAACACATTGAAGCGTAAATAAACAATCAAGAGTCCTGAATTCAACATCAACGTAGAATACTCTCTACATCTCATAAAAAAGAATGTACAAGTTATAATACTCTCCCCGTTATGTCAACTCAAATTTGCAGTAACGTGACTTCATTCAAAATATTATTTAAAAATAAATATTGAGTAACCTCATATACCTAATACAAGTGTAATGATAATAGTTGTTGATGCTAATGATTCGTTTATAGCGCGTTTCGTGATTTGTTTGAAGAAAATATGAAAAAGTACATACAATCATGAAAAAAATATCTCCAGCCGGCCTGATCAGACACTGAAGTCTTGTGAAGTTTCTTGTGGGTCCGGCACTTCATCAATCCATCATTATATCCAAAGACGCCACACTCTTTTCGACACTTCTCTGCGCAGTCTTTAAACGATATAGAATTGTACTCTCCTAAAAGTTCGTGTTCAGACTTTTTATTGTCAAAGTCCAGGATTCTGTCATATCTCCGAGAATACATGGTCGCCTGAGACACTGTAAAGAAGGTAACAATTAAAAAGACAACCCAAAGATTGCTCATATTGTTCTTTGTGTATTATGACAATTTCAGAGTTCCTTTAAGAAATGACTAATTTGTCTAAAGCTGGCAAGTATAAATGTCAAACACTCAACGTATTAGGTAAGCTGGTTGGTATGTTTTCAATATTACGTCATTGCGGAAAAATCGATTTTGTGAACGAAGATGACTGGATCCTAAGCATGCAAAATGCAATATGATATTGAGGTCAATTTAAAAATGATCTATTTGAATATGTTTTAAAAGATATCTATCATAGAGATTAAGATTAAGATTAAGATGGTATTTTATATATGATATATAAAACATGTATAAAGCTGAATGTTGAAATGATATTATGAACATATTTTGCATGATTTCTAATAGTTAGCTAGGTGTAATAATGGTGTAATAATGGTATGAAGAATACCTTGTATATTTTTTCGATATTTTTTCAAATATTAAGCTAAATGTTGAAATACAGTGTGGACTTCAGGGAAGCTCGATATGTGGTTTTAAGAAACCATGGCAAATGATATTGACCGAAGACACAGAAAGTGATTGTGACCGGGCTTGCGTCTAATAACCACATTGTGACCGTTAACTGTAGTCCAAAATAGCTATAATATACAATCACTCCAAACAAATAATGTGACAGTCCTAGCTGTGCATATAGCAGACTTGATTGGAATTTATGACGTCATAATGGTATAAAAACGTATCTTTTCTGAATTGTCTATTGATTTTTCCGTTTGTCTGATCATGACTGGGAGCACATAGCGAGTGTGACCGATTGACAGAGTATGCTTACTCCTCCATGGCATTTAAGAGGTCCATGTTTACTCTCCACCCAATTTATATGGTTCCAATTGACTTTTGAGATTGACTACTACTCGTTATCTTCATATTTTTTAAGCGAATTTGAGATAAATATGCATTGTTCAATGAGGCTAAGGACCATCTTAAAATTTTTTTTGAAAATACCTCAAAAGGTAATTGGAATAAATAAAATATTTCTATGTCATAAACCATCTGATCTTATTTGCAAGCCTCAAAAGAATAAGTACATGTAAATCATACACGGTACTAGTTTTGAAGCACCAGATGCGCATTTCGACAAATTATGTCTCTTCAGTGATGCTCAAACCGAAACGTTGGAAATCCAAAATATTTAAATAAAAAAGACTTTGAAGAGCTGAAAAAGGTACCAAAGTCTAGCCTAGAGCCAAAAACGTTGAAGGATTAGAGCTATGCATGAGGGAGATAATCCTTAATTTCGAAATAAATTTTGAAAATTTTACCACAGAAATTAAATTTATATCCGTATTTTTCAAGCTAGTACCAAAGTACTAGGTTACTGGGCTGTAAAGACCCTCGGGGACTAGCAGTCCACCAGCAGAGGCCTCGACCCAGGGGTCATAATGTAAATCATATACGGTACCAATTTTGATGCACCAGATGCGCATTTCGACAAATTATGTGCCCGGTCAACAGGGGATGCTTACTCCTCCTAGGCACCCGATTCCACCTATGGAATTTCCAGGGGTTTATGTTTTATGCCTTGCTCACAAATTTGTATTTCTTGTAATTTTTGAATGAGATCGATCACTGTTCGTTATCTTCACATTGTCACCGCAATTACCAAAGAAAATATACATTAATTTGCCACATATATCCATCTATGTCTGTGCAAGTGTAACAAGAGTTGCTGCGCTCAATAAGTCTTATTAATATTTCATTTGAAAAGACTATATACCAATATCCTAATGGCAGGGATAAGATTAAATTGTACAGTAAGAATTAAATGTCAAGTTTGAAAATTCTCTTTTACTTCAAACGTATTGTCTTCCTCCCAACGCAGTACAAGAGAACGAGCTCTTCTGCTGTAAGTATCACTTTCTACACAAGTAAAACGAATGTTTTTATGAGCAATTAGTATTCATTTAAAATTTTAATTTAAAAGGCCATAATCCTCATGTGATGAAAACAAAGAGTACCTATATGAAGGGAATTTTTTCATAGACAAAAAAAAAAAAAATCTAACCTGTTAAGTGCTTTTAAAATCTTTTTTAAACTGAATTTTGGTATTGATTCGAGGTCATACAATATTTTATTACAGTAAACAACTCAAACGATTGAATCCGATTCACTCACAATCTCTCACGTAACGCGAACGAACTCTCACGTTACATGAACAATCAGGCATGCTAAACGAACAAATCTGTCCGATCATTATGTCAACATTACTGTTGCAGCCACTGTATTGTCCTTGTTTGTAAATATAACATATTATTTAGTCATATTTTCTCTGGCATATTAATATAAATTGGGAGGTCATTGTTTATTGTTTTTTGTTTCTGTTTTTTTTTTTTGTTTTTTTGTTTTGTTTTTTTTTGTTTCTGTTTTTTGTTTGTTTGTTTGTTTTTTGATTTTTGATTTTTGTTTTGACTACGGAGTACTACTTCTACGTGAACCATATATGGGGATCACGGCGGATGTGACCTATCTACAAGGGGTGTTTCCTTCTTCTAGGCCAGCTGATCTCATCTCTGCTGTATTCAGGATTCCTAGTTTTTATCCCGTTAACGATTCGTTTTTTTTTTATACTGGATCTATGATATTTATCACTGTTCGTTTTCTCAACCTTTGTAGAGGTCCGTGTTTGCTCTGCTCCAAAATTTGCATTGTTTAATGGACTTTGGAGCTTGAATACTGTTCGTTATCTCCATATATTTCTAATATAATTCTGATGGAATTAAATCTATTAGGTTTATAAAATTCATTTTCAGGAGCCCCATCACGTTTCAGAACTTTTTGAAATACATGTGGTGTACAACACTAAATACAATATGAGAGATTACTTTTTTGTTACTTTGTATACTTTGTTGTTATTGTTTACTTTGTTACGATCATTAATTGATGAAATATATGGAGAAAACGAACAGTATTAAAGCTCAAAAGTCCATAAAACATTACAAAATAGGAGCAGAGCAAACACGGACCTCCAAAACAGGTGGAATCAGGTGCCATGGAGGAGTGAGCATCCCCTGCCGACCGGTCACACCCGACGTGTGCTCCTTGTCATGATCGGGAAATAACGGAAAAATCCGTCGACATTTAAGTGTGTAAATAATGGCCTAACAATTAGTATGAAAAACGTCAGTCATATCTCAATAAAAAAAATCTAAACAAATGAAATCTGTGAACAGAACATAAACCACGGACCTCCTGAAATATCACTTATATGTTTTTATGACCTAAATCTTCACACAGGTATTCTCAATGAAATATATGGAGATAACGAACAGTATTCAAGCTCAAAAGTCCATTATACAATACAAAATAGGAGCAGAGCAAACACGGACCTCCAAACATCAGAGGTGGGATCAGGTGCCATGGAGGAGTGAGCATCCCCTGCCGACCGGTCACACCCGCCGTGTGCTCCTTGTCATCATCGGGAAATAACGGAAAAATCCGTCGACAATTCAGTGTGTAAATAATGGTCTAACAATTAGTATGAGAAACGTCAGTCAGCATTTGACTCAATGATAAATTGTATTTGCTGACAAGGTCATTGTATCGACCATAGAACTTACGAAATGATGACTTTAAACGAGACAGCTGATATTCTTGTTTCATCAACTTATTTGTCAATAATTTACCCCGTTTTAGAAATTGTACATACGTAGAGCATGCTCTTGCGTATCGAATCAACTGAGAGATATATACCCCGTATGCAGGTGATGAAGGTATATTGCTGCATAGTTGACGATTGAAAAGTTAAAGTCATCACGTTTATCATAAAGCTTTGTTGTTAGATTACCATTAACGTCCTTTTCAACTAAAATATCTAAATATGAAACAGATGTGTCAGACTCTGTGGTATCTTTTATCTCAAGTTCACCAGGATATATCGTATCGACATAAAAATGAAAATAGACATTGTTAATTGAGAATACGTCGTCTATATATTTCTAAATGTCGAGTTGAACGTCACAGCAAGTGTTTTCATTTTTTCACGTACAAGATTTTGGACAAATTCTGATTCATATGAATACAAAAAAAGGTCTGCTAATAACGGGCCGCAATTGGTACCCATAGGAATTCCAATAGATTGTTGGAAGACCTGGTCTCCAAAAACCACATAGATATTGTCAATCAGAAACTCAAGCATCTTTTTAATGTCAACTTCAGAGTACTTATGTGTATAATCAGAATGTGTTTTAACAAAATAATTTTGCAAATGACCAATGACAAGGTAAGTATATTTACGAGTTCCATTTTTATTGAAAAAGCAGCTGTCAATGATATCAAAAAGCCTGGACTTTAATTTATCGTGGGGAATGGTTGTGTATAAAGTTGAAAAGTCGTAAGTTTTTAAGCTGTTGATTTTGGTAAAATCACGTGATTTCAAATTTTCCAAAAGTTCCTTGGAATTTTTAAGTTTCCACATCTGATTTACACCACTTCTCGAATATATTGTTGCACAGTACTCTTGAAGTTTCTCCTTAACCACTGTTAATATCTTAGTGAGGAGTAAAGATAGAGGCTTGGTTGAACATTTACTGGAACCCGCTATGTATTTTTGTTTTTAAGGATTTTTATGAAGTTTCGGAATCCAATATAAATATGGTAATTCCAATTCATTTTGGTTGTTTGGAATATTAAAAATATTCAAAACTGACATATGATTTCGAAAAATTTCTTTCTTAGAAAGGGAACTATGAGTATAAGTTGGATTACCACTTGTAGAATTAAATCCAAGTTCCTCTAAAATACATTTAATATAATGAGCCTTACAAACAAAGACAATATTGTTACCTGCTTTGTCAGCAGGGACCAGTACGTACTGATCATATAATCTATCTAATTCTTTTTTCACTTCTGGATTATTGAATACAGAAGGATAGATGGTTTTCATATTGCCTCTCAATCTTTTAATGCTCGATTTTAACATACGAGTA